GAAGGGACATGATTTAGGGTACGCGTTACGGTACCTTGAGATTTCAGTTGGCATTCACTATGTATTGTACTATCCATCGGAAAGGAACCAAACACAATTTAGAAATTGAATACGTGAAAACAACCCGACAAGGGGGCAATTCTCATGGGCTCTCCTCTCCGATCAGGAGGAAGGGAATGTCATGCATTTGGTGCGGTGCTGCGTTCACCTCGACCATCAATTCGCTGGTACTCGAGAAATAATTCAATTAATTTCAAGTCACCTGAACTGAGAGGATGAATCTACCCTAGGCGTTGCCATCTAAAACTTCACCAGCCGAATGAGTTCCTCTCTCGCTTCTCCCCCGCGCGCCTCTCTGAGGGCCTTCAACATCTTCGCCACGTTTTCTTGCAATCTCGCGCCCTTTTCACCCCGCGCAGCGGCAAACATCGCCTTGAACTCCTCCGACGCGTCCTGCACAGTGCCGGTGATTTCGACATTACTGTGGAGGGAGGGCGCGATTTGTGGGCCAGCACGAATCTGTATACATCCCAAGTTAAGTGGATTGATTCCAAAAAAGAAAAATTAAGAGACGCTAATACCTGCAAGAGCTCGATCGCCAGTGGATTCGGCTCAGCTGACAACATCGCCGCGTTGACAGTCTGCTCAGCGCCAACAGGCCAAATAATTAGCGGGATGCCCTGCGTAAATGCCTCAGTCACAGAACTACGATAAACGTGAGTAGTGCGAAAATGAAACAGGTCAATTGGAGATGGAGGTGGGTGAATACTTACTTGAACCCACCGTGTGTGAGGAACCACCCGACGCCACCATGCTGCAGGATAGCGAGCTGCTCGACCCAAAAGTCGCAAATGAGCCCTTTCCCGCTCGCGTTGACGCGCTCTATGAGGTCTGCGGGGAGGGACGCCATCTGGGACCCAAGTGCGAAGATGAATGGGAATGGCTGCTCGAGTTCGAATAGCGTGGTCACAAGCGCTTCGACGAGCTGCGGCGTGGCAACGGGGAAGAAGAGCGATCTGACGAGAGTAAGGATTCTGAGCAGTTATGAAGAATACACGCGCCCACCCGAAGGAGATATAAAGGACAGATTTCTTGCCGTATTCACTCACAGCGCGGTCCAAGAAGGATTTGACGCGCTCGTTGGACAGCACAGCCGGGGTAGCATTGGCCCAACAGAGCTCGTGAGCCTGCATCCCGATGGTAAACAGCTCTTTCCCGTGCTTCCCGTAAAATTCACGGAGGTATGGCACGCCGATGGGCTCGATGCAGGTGCTTGTGGTGGCAATGTATCCGTCAACGGCCTTGCCGAGCTTCTGGGCGCTCGACAAAAGCGCACCCAAGCCAGTCGGTGGGCCGGCGCCATATGCGTGGCGCTCGTAGTCGTACATGTCGGGGCCGCCGGGATACTTAATGACGAGTCCTGATATTTTATCCGTGCCGTTGGAGGCCTCGAAAACCTGTGAGTGTGAAGCTGGAATCAACTAATGGAAAACAATCTTGGATGAAACCCAACATTTTGCACGATGTCCTCCAGAGAGCGACCCTCCCGCTTCAACTCGTCTGCGTAGATGTCCTCAGCTATCGCAGTAAAATCGTGGTCGCTGAAATGTGCGGGCAAGGAAATAATGGCGGAGGACCACCATACAAGGGTCTTGCAATCGGGACCAAAAATTGCCTTGGTGGGTTCAATTACAAACCCTCCGCAGGCGAAATCGAACTGAGAGAAACCGTCGGCATCTGGAAATGAGACAAAAATAAAATGCGTACATGAATGGCTTGTGGTTTGGGCCATCCCTCAGTTCCCTGAGCCAATTGAGGAATAGTCTCCATCCAGCCGCCGCAGAGGTGTCCAAGCGCGTCCTTGATCTTGGTTGGTCCATCCAGGCTGCAAAATCAAGGAGCAATCAATTCGCGAAAACGACAGGAAGGACTGAGGACGAACTTGAACTCCTTGGGGCCCACCCCAATGATTCGAAGTCGCGCTTTGTCGTAGGAGCACCCTGCCAGCGCCGCCTCCATTTTCGGGACTGATCAACGAAAATCTCGCAATTCAGACTTTGTTTGGTATTCTTGGGAAGGTACGTACCAATAAGATTGTGCTGCACAATCACTGCGTTCCCACCTTACGTAGACGCACCCCGGTGTACGTTGGACTACGTCTGTCTACGTCAAGTCTACGTGCGGCTACATGTGTTGATCTTCGTCTACGTCCGGCTACATATGTGTACGCCTTGATGTCGGTGTACGTGCGGCTACGTCTGGCTACGCAGCGTAGACACGGTCCGTCTACCCGTCGGCTACGTATGTCTACGTGCGTCTATAGCGTAGACGCACGTAGACATACCTCGGTCAACTTCATAATGCTGTTCACTCCAATTCTGCATTGAGTTTATTTATCCAGTTCCGCAGAATTGGGTGAGGTATGTGTACATTTGTCTACAATGGTCTACGTGTGTCTACATCGGTCTATGTCGGTCTACGTGCGTGGACCGAGGTAGACCGATGTAGGCATATGGAGGCATATGTAGACGAGCCGTATCTACATGATGTAGACATACGTAGACAAAGGGGTTCGTCTACCCTTTGTCTACAGAGATAGACAGACCCTCTGTCTACAAGGGTCGGAACGCAGTGAATCGTAATAACGAGTGTAGGATCCACAGCGAGCATCTGGTCCACAGCATTGATGTAGCTGATCGTGTGTCCCCACGCTGGCGGGAGCATTGCGACAATGTGGTGGGTAGGCATGTTGAACCGGAACGGATGAAGAGTGAAACGAACGAACTCTCTGGGACCCTGGGGGTTTGACTGCTCTTGTAAGTAGGTCAAAAGTAGGTGCCGGAAATGCTTGGGAAATCCAGGGCCGTCCCATCGGAAAAATCTGACTGGAGAACTGGCCAACATTAACGCAACATCGGCAACACCAACATTGATCGGTACTGTGTTTCACTGTTCTCGTTCGAGAAAACTGATGCGCAGCGCTGCAGCTGAGTAATGCATGCATCGGTAAAGTTGTCGCTTGAACAAGTATAGTAGCTCGGGAACCAGGCCGTCACCACTCACCAGTGGAGGAGAAAAGAAAAGATTCAGAAAATCCCCGAAAACTTGAAGCGGGCCCAGCGAAAATAGAATAAGCGGGATAAAAGGTACATCAGTGTCTGGACTCGAAGGGTGACTCGGATTGGACTCGGAATCCAATCCGACTAAATATGGCAACATCTGAACATCCCTTGTCCGTAATCGTGTATTTGTAATTTTGTATTGCTTCTCAGATTGTCGACCCCGAGTGACTGGATCTCGACCAAGGGATTTAACGCTCACCAATTTTGTCATGTCCACACAAAGCCGGTCTAGCATTTACGAAGAACTTGAATGACGTGCCTTTAATTGAAATAGCCAGTCCTTTGGACTTGCTGCTCAAACTTCTGAACGAGCTGCGTTAATATTTCACAGCGTCCGGATGGTGGCCAATTCGGAGAATTGGTCGCGAGGATAAATTGAATGTTTATTTCAAGGAGTGGCCTACCAACACTGGCTTCCTATGTACCCGACTCGCAGAGATGAATGAGTGTTGAAAGACAGGGAGGATCGGTGGTTGGAACAATGAGGGAGAGGGAGAGAGAGCGGGAGGATACAAGGGGAGGTGAATGTGGAACATGAAAGAAGAGCAGTGAAAGACGACAGCGCGAAAACATGCACTGGTTTCCCAACCTGACCGGCGGCACTGACGTCTCACATCTTTCCAAATCCATTCCTACGCGATGCACAGGCAATCAAGCGGCAGCGGCGACAACAATGGCGGAGGGAACACCGAGGAGGAGGAAGGTGAAGACTGTGCACACGGTGCGGGTGTAGTACCAGGGGAGCGTGCCCATGTGCATGTCAGTTGTAAGGCCAAGACCGAGGAAAGGACGATCCAGCACAAGGAGGTGTAGAGCAGCGAGACAGAATACACAGAAATGAAAGGTGGGAGAATCAGCCGAATTCACGACGCGCACTATGATGACGCACGGTACAATTGCGCCGACGACAGGATGCCCGGCTGTGGGGGCCCGCCCTGCCCGCCTTGGCCTGGCTGGGGCGAAAACGGTGGTGAGGCCGTGTTGGTGCTGCCTGTTGCGCTATTGGATGCTGATGTTGAGCCTGGGGCCCGTGTGGAGCTCGAGCTGGAACACATAGAGAGAAGAGGGAAGAGCAGAGACGTCCACAACGTGGGTGATATGTCGGTGTCGCTAAGGAACAATAGCCGGGCCTGAGAGAATGTTGGCAGCGATGGGGACTAGAGCGTCGGCATCGTCGTGGGCAGCGTCGAGGAGCAAGGTGGCGACGCCGAGGTCAAGCAGCAATAGAAACAAAGACTTGGCAGCGGGACAGAAATGACGTTGTGTCATCACGCGCGGTGATCCACTCCGCTGTTCGGCAGCTGCCTTTTCCGGTCATTTGTCTCAACCACGTTTCTGAATAAGCACTGAGGCTGCTGCGCAAACGCCCCACTGGCTCGCGGACTCCGGTATCTCTTTCTTACCGATCGAGCTTCCTAACCATAATCGATTTGAATTCAGCCGATCGGCCCGCGGAGGCTTTTTTTCCACCCCCTGATTCGCGTTCTTTTGGCATAAATCTCTCGCATTCCACCGACATGGAAATAGGGTAGAATAGGGTACATAAAGCAGTATGGTGTAACGGGATTTCTTGAACCAGGCTGAATCGAGTCATCTCGAGGTCCTTGTTCGAATCAAGGCACTGCTCTTGAGTCTTGGTCCTTTTTTTTGCTAGTTGCTGCGGATTTTCTTGTACACCATCGAATTCGAAACAGGGCAAATAAAGCAGTATGGTGTAACGATGCACACGGGATTTTCATGGGGGTTTGCGCACATTTAATCTCGAGGTCCTTGTTCGAACCAAGGTACTGCTCTTGATGGATGGTACAGTAGCATTTTTTGTACTAAAATTCCTCTGCATCGCTGACACTGTACAGACCTGGAAAGAGGGTGAAGGAAAGCAGTATGGTGTAATGATGCACATGAGATTTGCTTGAACCACGCTGAATCGAGTCATCTCGAGGTCCTTGTTCGAATCAAGGTACTGCTCTGGCGAAAATTGCCTCATAAATCCCTCTGAATGAGTTAACACTCGGACAACTTTGAAACTGGGTCGGAAAAGGCAGTATGGTGTAATGATGCATGCAGGATTTTGTTGAGATGTTCGAGTCGGATGTGTAATTCCCGAGGTCCTTGTTCGAATCAAGGTACTGCTCTAAGATGAAACCCCATTTCTTTTTCGGCACAAAAGTCCCTTTGAATCACTATACGGGATTTTCTTCAATGTTAACTTTGACACCTTTTTTCATTCGTTTTATGAACGAAAAAAAAAAAGACCCAAAAAAGGCTTTAAAACGGCCCTTTCGTGAAACCCCCAGGTTCTCTGTGGTTCAAATGTATTTGCACATGTAACAGTTGTCTCAGGACCTTCAAGTTGTCGCGTGTGGCTGTGTTGGGACAAGCTTCCGCGACAAGTGCAACTATTTATTTTCTCCTCGAGAATTGGATGATAAAACTATGATCCCACTTGTTCTTCAAGGAATTCTGTATGCCTTTGGGTTTATTGTGGACTCGATTGCACCAACTACAGAGCATAGTACTAGTGGCTATATCGAGAAGGCAGTATACAACCCGCCCTTTTCTTTTTTTGGCTCCATCAAGTACGCTCATCATGCTGCATTCGTGCCAGTGGGGGCGCCAGTCGCTAGGCAGCCCCTAAGTAGTGCAGCACACTTACTAAGCAGCCCGTAATGAGTGCAGGACAAAAAACAGTGCCATAAAAGGCTTGAAAAAAGCCATGTATTTTGCATAAAAGGCGGGGGGGGGGGCCTTTATACAACACCTTCAAAAAAAGGGGTCTTTTTTCGAGATCCTTTTTTCGGGACCATTGAAAAAGGTATAAAAAAAGACCTGAAAAAACGCCGAAAAAACCCGTCGTGAAATGCCCTATTAAAACCAAAGTGATTCCTGAGGTCCTTGTCCGAATCAAGGTACTGCTTTGCCACTTCTGTAGAATTCCTTTTTGCCAAAGTTCCTCTGAATCTCTAGCACTCACCCAACTTTGAAACTGGGTACGAAAGGCAGTATGGTGTAATGATGCACACAGGATTTTCTTTGCAATATTTGAAGCATCCTCAATCCCAAGGTCCTTGTTCGAATCAAGGTACTGCTCTACTCCTGGATCTAATGATTTTTTTGGCACAAAATCCTCTGAATCTCCAGCACTCCACCCACCTCGAAACAGGGCAAATAAAGCAGTATGGTGTAAGAATGCACACGGGGTTTCTTTGAGGTGTTCGAGTGGCATTTATAATTCCCGAGATCATTGTTCGAGTCAAGGTACTGCTCTGACCAGGATGGTGAGTTGATTTTTGGCTATATTATGCTGACTCTCTGGCACACTACCAACCTTGAAACTAGGCAAGGAAAGCAGTATGGTGTAATGCTACACACGGGATTTTCTTGCGCTCAAGCTTATGTGTAATTCCCGAGGTCCTTGTTCAAATCAGGGTACTGCTCTCCATCTTCCCAGCCCATCTTTTTTTTTGGAACAAAATTCTCAGTACTACACCCACTTTGAAACAGAGTAAAGAAAGCAGTGGTGTAATGATGCACACTGGGTTTCCTTATTGTGTCAACCAGAATGGTATCCTTGCTTTTCCTAACCTGTTTCAAGGTGGGTGAGTGCTTGAGAATCAGAGGGATTTTGTTGAAAAGTCGAACAAGAAAAGGAAGACAGCAGTACCTTGAGTCGAACAAGGACCTCGGGGTTGATCAAATCACACAGCCCACGATGTTAAGGAATCCCCGTGTGCATCATTACCCCATCCTGCTTTCTTTCCCTGTTTCGAGGTGGGTGGGGTGTCAGAGATTTGTAAGAATTTGTGCCAAAAAGACCCAGCAATCTCGATCAGAGCAGTACTTTGATTCGAACAAGGACTTCAGGATTATGTATACTCTTGAAAGTCTAAGAAGTCCTGCATGCATCATTACACCATACTCGCTTTGGGAGGTGTACAAGGCAGGGTTGAAGGCATGGGGGGGCAGCATATCTGACACCAAAGGAGGGTGAGGGGAATGAGGCAGGTGGGGGTAGCCAGGAGGGGTACAGGTATTATAGTTTGTTGACTGGCTTAGGATTGGTATTGGCGGTGTGGGCATGAGGGACATTCATTCTTACCTACTACCTGCCAACAAGTTTTACCCAACACACACTTTTGCAGGCGGCATAAGAGGGCAAAGAGGAGAACTGCTAAGAGTATGAGCCCAGCGATTATGGTTATGAAGATTATGAGACGGGCTAGCGGTCCTATGGAGAGGGCAGACATGTGGGTGAAGACTGCATCATAACGTGTGGCCTTGTATGTAAGTAACACGTCTTAGGGCTTGCAATGCTTGGTAAACTCACCGTCGCCGCTACGGGAGATAATGCCAAGGAAGCCACAGGTCGAGAGAAGGCTCTGGTTTGGCAGCCCACAATGAGATATTAGGGCATGCAGACATGCATAAATGAGACCGGCGGCTGGGAAACAGACATGGAACTTGGCAAAGGAAAAGGTGGGCTGGGTGTGGATTGTGAGGCCTGGTGGAGAAATTAGACTGTGTCTGAGAGAGAACACATACCATGCTGTTGGAATCAATAGAGCAATCCAGTATTGGTATGCAAATGTGTGGGGAATTCTTCGCTGGCTAGGACATAAATACTCGTCTAGAGTAATTAAACGAATTTAGTCTGTCAGGTACAGGAATGAATGGCGGGGACCTTATACCAATGTGCGCCACAGGGGCAGTGCACGCAAATGCAACTCGTACTCCAACACATCCGTCCGTTGACATGAAGTGGCTTACAAAGGCCGGCACTGAAGTGGAGTTGCCGATGAAAGAGAGAGGTCAAAGGCAGAGTCTAACAATTAGACCCGGAGAGGCGCTGCCCTGCACTATTTATCGGCTTGGGACTTAGGCCCAAGGGGGCACCGGCATTAAAAAAAAAAGCTACTTATAGGGGAGATTTTCTTTTTTCAGATCTCAGTCGGCCATCAGACTTTGTGCCAAAAACTTGATCGTACTTGATTCGAGTGACAAGTGATCAAGTAAGGTCCGATTCTCCACAAGTGCCAAAAAAAAAAAATCATGTGGTGCGGGCTCTTTTGTATCCAATTTGACAAGTTAAAGTTTTTCAGATTTTTCAGATTCAAGAGGAAAATGTTGTGGATAGGAAATCTTGAGTGCAGTATCACTTACACCATATTGCTTTCTTCGGGCAATTTCGAAGTCAGTTGGAGTGCTTGAGATTCAGAGGGAATTTCATGCCAAAAAAAGGGACGACAATCAAACGATAAAGCAGTACCTTGAGTCGAACAGGACTTCGGGAATACATTATTTCACAATTCTTGAGTAATGAATCCCTGTGTGCATCATTACACCATACTACTTAGTTTGGGCTATTCTGAATTTGATTGAGTTCAGGAGATTCCGAGGTAGGTAGGTAGGTAGAATTACAGGAATTTTGTGGTTTCAAAAAAAAAAAAAGAGCTGTGATATTGAAGAGCAGTACCTTGATTCGAACAAGTTCCTTGGGTTTGAGCATATGCGACAGACTAAAGAATCCCTGTGTGCATCATTGCACCATACTGCCTTTTCTTGCTCAGTTTTGAGGTGGGTGAGGACTAGAGATTTGTAGGAATTTTGAGGCAAAAAAAAAAAAAACCATCATCAAATGATTAGGGCAGTACCTTGAGTCGAACAATGACCTCAGGAATATGCTTTTCAACGCTTCGCAATGAAATCCCTGTGTGCATCACTACACCATACAGCTTTGTTTGCTTAGTTTCAAGGTTGGGGGAGTGCTAGAGATTCAGTGGGACTTTGTTTAAAAAATGCTACCATTCGGCGCAGAGCAGTACCTTGATTCAAACAAGGACTTCGAAGATGAGAGCATTCTTACCACAGTAAGAAAACCCCGCGTGCAACATTACACCATACTGCCTTATTTGCGTTGTTTCGAAGTTGGGTGAGTCCTAGAAATTCAGAGGAATTTGTGCCAAAAAAACACTCCACTCAGAACAAGAGCTGTACCCAGTTTCGAGCTGAGTGGAGTGCTAGAGGTTCTGACAGAATTCGTTTTTGTAAAAATCTGTAAATGAATGGAAGAACAGTACCTTGATTCAAACAAGGACCTCCGGGATAAGAACAGGCGGAATTGGTCGCTTTAAGGAGACCCATGTGCACCATTACACCATACTGCTTTCCCTACTACTTGTAAAGGTGACTTGGATGCTGGAGATTCATAGGAATTTTGCCAAAAGAAATGCTGTGGAGATGGCAATGCAGCAGAGCAGTACCTTGATTCGAACAAGAACCTCAGGACAACATATTTATTCAACGGGGTAGGAAAATCCCGTGTGCGGCACTGCTTCCTTTGCCCTCTTTCCAGATCATAGAGTGCTTGAGATTCAGAGGAATTTTTCTTTCCAAAGGGAATTGACGTGGGAAACTTGGCAGTAACTCGACTTGAAAAGACCTCGGGGCTGAGTATAGTCATTATGTCACGCCGTCTTAGGAATTCCCGTGTGCATAATTACACCATACTGCTTTCTTTGTCCTCTTTCATGGTGTCAGAGATTCAGATGAACTTTCTGCAAGAAAAAGAAGAAAAGAAAAAAACACATTACAATCACACCGGTGATTGCCAATTTTCGGCACCCCAGACGATCTATTCGAATGCTGAGAGATCAGATTCAATTTCGGCCTGACGGAAGCTGGATCTGATTCCATGAGTTTCGGTTGCACAATTGGCTGAGGCCCGAGTACTATTCTGATAGTCCAACTTTAAAATAGAACATTCGGTGTCCCAAAACTTGGCAATCATGTCCATGTGCGCTAAAACAAAGAAATGACAAAGTGGGAACAAACACCCAGTGCCCATCACTAAGCTTCCCAAATTTCAGGAGGTCGGGCGTTCTATCTGAAACTTGGAATATCGGAATGAATTTCTGGGATGAGCTGATGCTGGAACTGAAAATCTGGGAAACAGCTTTGGCGCTCGGTGAG